TCCGGTAAAAGTTCTAGACCAACTACGGTCAACTCTTCACGCTCACCTACCAGACTCTCCGCTCTTAACACTACAAGGGCACCCGCTAACCACGGCAAAATTTATGTTACATGTCAGAACTCTGTTATCTAAGCTCGGACACAACCCGGCTGCATTCTCCGGGCACTCCTTCCGTATAGGAGCCGCCTCAGCAGCCACTAGCACAAACGCACCGGTCCACAACATCAAGAGACTGGGGCGATGGAAATCCTCCATATATAATGCATATATTCCACAACCGGAGAAAGAGCTGCGCCAAGCTTTCAGGAACTTGGTCTTGTAAAATGCAATAAAGTGTCTATTTTCTCTAATTTATCTTTTGCCCTCTTTTATTTTCAGGCCCACTCGTACGTTGGTTTCGGCACACCACAACCAACTTTGCTCACAGATACTATCCATTACGTATTTAAATTCCGAGCACAAGTAGAAAGGCCATTAGGCCTGAATTTGTGGGAGGAGTAAATCCCCTACTTAAACTCCCAGCCCCTACTCACCTCTGCCGCTCAGCTGATTGTCCCCACCCACCTACACCCTGTTATAACTACATTCTCCTTGGTGGGCCCTCTTTTATTTACAGGCCCACTCGTACGTTGGTTTTGGCACACCACAACCAACTTTGCTCACAGATACTATCCATTACGTATTTAAATTCCGAGCACAAATATATATATGCATATATATATATGTGTGTGTGTGTGTGTGTGTGTGCATATACCAGTAAGGGGACTGCATGGCAGAGGATGCGCGATGGTCTAAGGATGCAGGCAGATGTGGCATCATGCAACGTAACATCCGTCAACCCCGTGAAGCTGTCTATGCTCTTCTGCCAACCACTGCTGTCCACCAATGAGGTGGATGAAAATAGGCGGAAGTGACATATGAGGACATGGTATAGGGAAATACAATAGAAGACCTGTGTTTAAAGGGGCAGAAGGCGGACTAATGGACTAATTATCCATTTGACCCAAAAGGGGGAATCTATAAGGGATTTAAAAATGGTGGACTTCTGGAACTATACTACAGCCGACTGAGGACTATCAAGAAGGAGTGAAACACATTTTGGCCATTTAAGGACATGTTCCAGATTTGTGTGTTATTTATTTTTATTATTATTTACTATTATGTGTTTAGCTTTTGTAGCAAATCCCGGGTAACCCGACTGGTTACCTCCGCTCATATCTTTCTTCATCCACTCAGGAACCCTTACAACAAGCAGGCATCCATTTCCCCCAGTAACTGGAGGAGACACAGCTCTAGGAGTGCAACACAACTTTATTGAGCCACACATGGCTTTTATGCATAGCCCCATGCAAGGGGTTTTCACCACAAAAAAACAGGGGTCGTATCCCAGGATCCTCTATACCTGGGAGCCAAAGCACAGGAAAGTGGGGTCGCTGTCCCTTTGTCTCTCAGGTGTAGACATCATACAAAGGGGAAAATACACGAATGAACAGTGGTTCTGCCACACTTTTTTGTCCGTTTTTATTTGTTTTAATATTAAACAAAATTGTTCAAGCACTATTAAAAGTCCTCTGAAGTTCCAGGAGTCTTCATTGGGGTTGTGCCATCCCTTCTATATTGGCACTACCTCTATTACTCTCAGAGCCAGAATTTTAGGCTCTGTACAAGGTGAGCAATATACCTTCCCTAATTTTAAGGAAAAAAAATGTGGTTTTAAATACTACACGTTGGCTGCCTTTTTCTTTTCTCAACATTGAGAGTGTCCTATCAGACAGGAAGAGTGGTGAGATGCTACTCTAAAAGTACAAGAACATTACTTACTGAGCCAATTCATTTAGGCTCTGTTACATGTGAGTGGTATGACTTATTTCTATGTACAGCAATTAAGTGCACAGTTACCATCTGCACTATATTCTGTCTCTTTGTATTTTTTATGGGTCTGGGATATATCCCTATATGTATCAAGATTGTTAAGGTATCAAGATTGTTAATATGTTACACTTAAGCACTTTCTGATCTTTGCACACTCCCTCTCTTTGGAGTTTTTATTATATTTAGTTTTTTATCTAGTGAACCTGCTCTAACCTGCTATAGTTTGTTTCTGCAGTTAAGTTAACTTTGCTTTAATGTCTTTTAAAGTACACTCTTGCACTACATTGACTGCAGCTTTCCAAACTGATTGGCCCTACACATTAGTGTGTCGGTCTGAGGTGACTAACAGGAAGGGGAGCGCATTGCACAGCGTTCCCCTCCTGACGGTCACTCATGATGTTATCACTGACTGATCCTTTACTGCCCTAGACTTGGGGCTATGGCCCTGAACCCACTGCCACACCACCACCACCCACCCAGATACACACAGTGTAACTTATCCCTCAAATGTTATGGGGGGTGAAACCATACATATAAGAGAAAATAAAAAGAAACACACTAGTGTAGAAAACTCGCATTTATTAGAGCCTTTTGATGTGGCAACCGGAACCTTCTTTTAAGTGAATATTCGATACACCTCTCCCCACGCTGAATTCATATAAAAAGAAACAGAAAATACATTAAAAAAAGAGCGAAAAGGAAAAATCTACATGTGGTAAAAAATAAATAAAAATACCAGTAGTTCTATCACTTATCCAAGGTACACAAAACCAGGTAGACCGATAGTCTACTGGAGATAGAATCTATTCCAGAGATTATCAGAATACATGGACAGGTGTCTTAAACCTGTAGTAAAAAAAAACTGATTTACTAGAGTCACAGACCGTTTTACAGCTTGTTCTGTCAATGTGGCCAGCACGATTTGTGAAATATATGCGGAGCATGGCCATTGGTCACAGCCTGCTGTCAAGGGTCTGGTTGGGAAAGGGGTGCTGACCAGTGCAGCAAACTCTATAGCTTGGCACCCAGAATGCAAAGAACCAACATTGACACAAATCAAGGCACAAAACTGATATTTTGATAAATATTGATATTTATAAGGAAGACAGTTTAATAAAATACAAACACAGATAACTGAATGGATACAGGAAAGCAGGGCCTCTGGATACAGGGAGGCAAATAGCTCAGGAAACTCAGGGGAAGCAGCCAGCTGAGGAACTCAGGGAAACTACTACCTCAAATATACAGGACAAAAAGGACCAGATCAACAACAACATTATTAACATTAATGAACTGGATGAGGCTTGGCTAAATAGGGAGAAGACCATTACAAAGTAAGACCAGCTGGGAACAGAGAGAGGTCTCAGTCTGAGTGCAGCAGCCTGGAATAGCACCACAGACAGGTAGTGGCACTGTGAGGTACTGCACCAGACTGAGCGGAAACCGAATCGTGACCACTTTTCTCTCCTGTGTTGCCTGATGCAGGGAGTAGGGATACACATGCTTCTTGCTGCATATGACCCTGGATTCTGCTCAACTCCTAGAGACTGAGGACATCTGGCACTGGCAAGTAGAGCAGAGCAGCCTGGCAGGGGGATAGCACTGGACTGTCCTCCAGGATTATGCTTAAAAGACAATTTGTGTGTTTGTTTTCCTGTGTAATTAAAATTGTATGTAGGATTCGTATGTTCATACGAATGAAAACTACTGAATCAATAGACCACCCCAGAGAGAAGTGTGTACCTCATTAGGCTTTTACACTTCTCTAACCGCAGTCAATCAGTGCTTTAGTACTATATCTGGGTGGCCGCCATTCGATAAGCGAACACGTGGCGGCGGCCATCTTACGCATGAACTCTCAGCGGTGTTTGGTCGTCAAGTGTCTGGAACTCAAATCGGACACTCAATTACCCGAACACTGCTGAGACCTCCAGAGCTCCGTAACTCCCAAATGGAGGGGCCAATTAGCCCCTGATTCGGTGAGTTCAGCGTACCGAAAAAGAGGATTCATACGAATGCGTTGTTAATAGTGGATGGCAAAGATTTGTGGATGTTTTACCTCCCGAACAGAGACCGACCGCAGGGCCAAAACACCCTTTTCGGCTACCACCTCGTGTGCGGTCAAATGGTCAAATGGTTTATTCCCCAAAACTCCCGAACCCCTGGTCCGATCTGGGTGAATTTTGAGTATGTTGGCCACCCAGATCACGGCTACCAGGGGGTGCCACTTAGACCCTTGTACCCCACAGTTTTGGGGTACATCCAGAAACCGGGTAAAGCTGTAACAGAAATAAGTGGTTTAAGTGTCACACTGAGGGGAGGAGATGTATTGTTCCATTGGCTACTGTCCCAATTATTGTAAATCCCTCCCTTGCATGGGAGAAACTTTTATAAGGAAACAATGGGATTAAAAGTTGAGTTCTGCGGGGGGCGGGGATGACGACGTGACGACGCGTGGGACACGTGGGGCGTGTAACGTGGCGTGCACACCGCGGGGTTAAGCTGAGCTGGAGTCCCATTTGGGGGAGAGGTGAGATCGCCGAGTAAATAATGGAGACAACACAGGCGTCGGATGCTATCCCCCCACAAGTGCAACAAGTGCGGTAATTAAAGCCGCGTTGAAGGGCTTGTTTGATTCGTGGGTCGAATATACAGGATTGAGGGACCGAAGGAAAGTCAGTATTTGTTTTTTTGTTTTGTTTTTTTTTTCCATTTACTTTGTTCCCGACTCAGCAAGAAAGAGCGTAGGAATGGTGTGCGTTTGAAAATCGTAATGGAACTATGCCCAATCTAAAGAAGTTGATCTTTTAAAAAGCCTGGCAAATAAAAAGGCAGAGTGAAATCTCATACCGGAGCAGAGGTGAGCACAATAAGTTAAGAGTGCAATGAGGCTTGAGTCATAT